ATATATATTGAAGAGTATGGGTGAGGCAAGAGCCTTGAGGTACTCCAGCTTGTCAGGCTGTGAAGGTTGTTTCTGCCGTACCATGGAAGGTGGGAGATGATACTTCTACCTGTTAAGAAGTTGTTTTATGAGCCTGAGAAAGGTCAGCTGTGATCTGGGAGAGGTCGCAACTTTGAAAATGAGTCGTTCGTGCCACAGGCTGTCGAAGGCTTTGTGTACGTCCCTAGTTGCAATCAGGGCCAGGTTCCCTTGCTTCCTCAGGATGGCCACGGCATCAATGATAATATTTATCGCATGTTGTGTGCTGTGGTGGGACCTGAAGCCGAACTGTCGTTCAGAGAATAGGTGGTTGAATTCCATGTAGTGGTTCAGTCTGTTGGAGATTATTCTTTCGAAGACTTTGCCCGTGACTTCGAGTAAGCAGATGGGCCTGTAGTTCTCGGGGTTTCGCTTGTCCTTGTTGGGTTTGGCGATGAAGATCATCCTTGCTGTCTTAAATGCCACTGGGAAATGTCCTGATGCCAAGATGACATTAAGACATTCACCAGCGACCTCTTGCAGTTACGGGGAAGGTACTTTTATTATTTAGCTGTTATGCCTGATGGGCCAGATGCTGTGTTTCTCATTCGGCCAATGACTTGGGACACTTTCCTGAGAGTAATTGGTGTAGTTAGAGGGTGTTCGTTTTCGAGAGATGTGTCAATTGATGGTATAGGGTGGAGGTCTTCCAGGTTTTCATCTCGCCATTGGTTGACCCACTGGGTTTTAAAGGGTTCTGGAGTATACTGGAGAGGAGTTCCGGGGTCAACGCCCCGCCGGCCGGTCTGTGACAGGCCCTCCTGGTGGATCAGAGCTGATCAACCAGGCTGTTGCTGCTGGTGACAGCAAAACCAACGTACGAGCACAGCCCGCTGATCAGGAACTGACTTTAGGTCGATTGTCCAGTGCAGATTGAAGACTGCCTGGGGTCTGGTTGGTAATCCCCCTTATGTGTGCTGGGAGGCAGTTGAAACAGTCTCGGGCCCCTGACACTTATTGTATGGTCTCTTAACGTGCTAGTGACACCCTGCTTTTCATTGGGGGGATGGTGCGTCGTCTGCCAAGTCTTTTGCTTTCGTCCCCCCCCCCCCCCCCCCCCCCCCCCCCCCTTCATAGTGAAGTGATTTTCGTGTGCATGTTCGGAACTTAGTCCCTCTAGATTTCCAGGTGTATATAATCATGTATCTCTCCTACTGGTTCAGGGAATAAGGTTTAGTAACCTCAAGCGCTCCCAATATTGAGCGCTGTGTTTTTTCTCCGTATTGCGCGCCGTGAAAGTTCTCTGTACATTTTCTAGGTCGGCATTTCATGCTTGAAAGGTGCTGTTAGTGTGCAGCAATATTCCAGCCCTAGATAGAACAAAGTGACTGAAGGTTGTCATCATGGGCTTGCCTCCTAGTTTTGAAGGTTCTATTATCCATCCTTTCATTTTTCTAGCAGATGCGATTGATACAATGTTATGGTCCTGAAGGTGAGTCCTCTAACATGATCACTCCAGGTCTTTGCGTTGGTGTTTCGCTCATTTTGTGGCCAGGAATTTGTTTTGTACTCTGTTGACAAAGATTAATTTCCTCAGTTTACCATATCTGAGTAATGGAAATTTTAATCGATGAAACCTTCATATTGTTTCTGCAGCCCACTGGCAAGATTTGGTTGAGTCCACCGGGAGCTTTGCTCAGTGTTTGCAATGGAGACCTGTCATTGCAGATTCGGGTGTATCTGCAAAGGAAGACACGGTGCTGTGGGACTGACATCTTGTCTATGTCGGATATGAGGTGAGGAACAAGATGGTGAGCGAGTACTGGCCTTGTGGAACCAGAGAGCTTTCACCGTAGCTGCCTCGGGACTTTACTCTGTTGACGGATACTCTCTGTTGATTCTGTTAGTGAGGAAATTATTGATCCATCGACCGGACTTTTCCTGTTATACTTTACACGCATTTTGTGCGCTATTACGCAATGGTCACACTTGTCGAAGGCTTTTGCAAAGTTGTATTATTCATCTGCACTTTTTGTCTTTGTGCATTTGGCCTTGTGAGTGATCAATGTTGGACAGACAGGAGCGACTTGTTTTAAACCCCCGTTGCCCGGGTTGTGTAATGATGGGTTTCAGAGGGTGGTGATCTTGCTTCTTGGCCCCTTTAAAAGATTTTTATATAGGGGATGTTGTGCTATTGGTCTGTAGTTCTTTGCTTTTGCTTTATGTCCTTTGTGGGGTGGGGCTATGTCTGTTGTTTTTAGAAAACTGTGGGCGCCCCCCGTGCCCATGCCCCCTCCCCAAAGGAGGAAAAGGCTGTGTAGGGGTTCTTGCGTTTTGTAAACACAGATTTCCATGATTTGGGCCCCGGGGGGCAGAGGGGCATGGGCATGTCATTTATGCCTTTTCGAAGTCTTTTGGCGTAGGATAACATCGGATAGGTTGTGTAAGCAAATTTTTTGGCTCTTCATGAAAAATTCTTTTGATCTTGCTCTCAGTCTGGTTAGCGGCCCTTTCTAAAAAAAATGAGTATATTGGGATTTAGTAGAAACCTCATTTCCTTGCGTCTCTGTGTAGGGCCCCTCTTGTTTAAATAGGGGGCCCCCAAAATGGACGTTGTTCTCGATTTTGATTTAGCATAGGGGAAGAAAAAACTTGGGTTTCTTTCGATTTCATTTATGGCTTTTAGTTCTTCCGCGATTCCTGACTCCTAAAGGATTCTTTTAGTTAAGTTCGATGCTTGCTATTTCTCTGCCCAGTGTCTCCCTACGCATTTCAGATATATTGACCTTTTTTAGCCGCTCTGTTATTCTTTTCCGTCGCCTGTAAAGGGAGCGCCTGTCTCTTTCTGTTTTACATCTACTCCCCCTTTTTCTTCGAGGAATAAGCCTTGTGCATACTCGAGTGCCACCGTTTTAAATCTTTTTCTAGGCATAAGTTGGGGTCTGTGTTGCTTAGTATATCTTCCCAGCTTAAATCGGTTAGGACTTGGTTTACTTGGTCCCACTTTATGTTTTTGTTATTGAAGTTGAATTTGGGGGAATGCTCCCTCGTGACTAATCTCATTATGTCGGTCTGGGGCTCCGCGCATACATGATGAACCTCAATTATGTTGTGATCTGAGTATATTGTTTTTGATATGGTGAGATTTCTTATCAGATCATCATTGTTAGTGAAGATGAGGTCTAGTGTATTCCCCGTCTAGTAGGCCTATTATTTGTGGTTTAATATTAAAATTTTGTGCAGAGATTTAAAAGCTCACGTGAGTGTGAGTTTTCATCAGAGATGCCTCCTGGTGTTATTACTGCAACAATATTATTTGCTATATTCCTCCATTTTGGGTTTCCCTTAAGTTGAAATCCCCCAGGAGCAAGATGTTGGGTGCAGGAGCTGGAAGATTTTCCGACAGTGGTCAATTTTATACAGCTGTTCCTGGAATTGCTGGGATGTTGCATCGGAGGCTTGTAGACTACCCCAATGACTAGGTTTTGGTTCTCGACCTTTATGCTAAAACTTCCACTACATCATTTGAGGCATTTAGCAGTTCTGTGCAAACAAGTGACTCTGCAATGTACAGGCCAACCCCCCGCCCTTTTGCCTGTTCACTCTGTCACATCTGTATTTGGTTGTACCTGGGATCCATATTTCGTTGTCCAAGTGATCCTTTATGTGGGTCTCAGTGAAAGCCGCGAATATTGCTTTGCCTTTTGCAAGCGTCCACGGATGAAAGGTATTTTGTTGTTTTTTTTGCTGGCTTTAGACCCTGTTTTTTTGCAAAGAAGAATGTTATCGGACTGGTAGTATTGTTGGTACTGGGGGGGGGGGGATTTTTTTTTCTGCATTAGTATCTGTATCTGTTTTGGGTTTGAGTGGAGGCCATCGACTGTGGTTCCACTCCAGGAATGACTGGATTTGGTTGTACGATTTCTGCCATTTCCTGCCAGTTTTTTTTCCTTCCTGGCACTAAAAAACCTTCCCTCTTGAGTGGCTGTGGCTACCCAGGTTTTCCCATGGCCTGGATGTTTTGTATTTTTTGTCCCCTTTAGATGGTATGCCTTTGGGAATTTAAGTTATAGCACAGTCTTTCCTGTACTGAAGAGGTACACAGTTCAGGGTTGAAAAAGCTTACAGGAAGGGGGTTTTTCATTTTCCTGTTGTCATATGGGCCCTGGCATTTTCTGGGTGGTCATAGTTGCACGTCCCATCTGTTTTTCCAGATTTCCCCTGCCCGCAGATACCGAGTGCATAGTATGTGCAAGGCTTGGTTTCCGTTTGCCTTGGGTTTCTGTGACTGTATTCCCTGTTGGTGCATGTTTTCCCCGTCTTACTTCTATCCTCCCTTTGCACCAACAAAGGGGCTCCCCCCGTTGTTTTTTTGGGAATAATCCTACATTGCTAGTGGAGTCCTCTTGTTTGCTATTTCCCGCGGTATTTCTTTTAAAATTT